CTGAATGCTGGTGGGATTTCTAAGCTGCAGTATAAGACTGAGTGAGGATGCGCCCTAAGTAAGCTACAAGAGTCAGGGGACCAGTGTAACATGAAAAATGGAGTGCTGCATAGTTGTGTATGGAAACCTCCACAAGTGGAGGGTTGCTGCTGTCCTCGGACTGTAAGAAGCTGATTGAGCATCATTGCTAGAAGGCAGTTCTCAAGTCCAGAGTTATCCAGGGCAGTACCCCGCTTCTGCTGGGGACAGTCCTCCTCATGGAAGGAGGAATAGGAAAGGCAGCCTACGACTGCACACACAAGTGATTGATGCTGGAAAGTAAAACTCAAAGGTGATGTTCAGGAGCTGTTATAGTTGTTGTGCACGTGCAAAATAAATTCAAAAGCACCTGCAAGTGACAGTTACAGAGTTGGGAAGTTGTTTGAATACTTCCTACTGTTCAGTGTTTCAGCAGCATCATTGGCCATTTTGTTAATTGCATCCCTTCAGCCTTGGACAGGTTTTGAGTTAGAAAACCCATTTCAAACTAGTACTTGTAACTTATTTTTTATTGTTTTGTCATACAACTGAACTTCTTAATACTTGCACCTCTTGTGATAGGAATTCTCTGAGTTAGTTTTGGGTGATGGATCGTTGTGGAGTATAAATTATATTTCTATAATAAATGTGTATCTGTATTCTCTTTCTGTAATATATGATTGCATTTTACATGGCTGGAGGCTGACATCCTACCTTTATTTTTACAAATTTTAAAGCCTGTTTCCAGTCCTTAGTGAATAGTGGTGCCTTAAAGTAGTAAGTGGTCCTTTTTATTTCAGTCTTATTTTCCTTTCTCCACTGGGGCTGAAATAATAATATTATAATTAATTTTCAACAGGTCAACCCTAGCTTTGATGTGACTAATACACAAACACTTGACCCACCTGTCATAGAGATTAGTTCCTCTTCATCTTTCAGTACTCCGGTAAGTTGCCTTCTGGCGGGGGGAAGGAGGAGGGGAGATAGAGTATAGCTTAGACTAACATGTTGTCAGAAATGTGCTCTTTCTGTCTGTATGAATGACATATATTTTTATAACAATTGTCGATGGCTCAGAGCTCAATATCCTAACTTCTCAAGTTAAGCTTTCTTTCACAGTTCCCAAGGCTAACCAGAAGATGGTGTAATAGCAAAGCTTTCATGTTATACTAGTAATTGTACCCGTATACTAAGCACAAATTCTAATTATATTCCTATGATAATTATATCTAAATAGTACTGTTAAAATTTGTGGCTTATTCTCAAACAATTTTTTGTAATTCTGTCTTTATCTGCAAATAATGGGAAACCTAAAGAATAGTTGCCTCATTGATAAAATTCCAAAAGTGATGTTTTAATTTTTCTCCTTTTAAGGCATCTAGTAGTTCTCTAGGAAGAAAAAAAAAAAAAAAGTAACACATTTTAAGATAGAATCATAGGATTAGATACTTCTGGTGTTAGCTTTTCATATGACATTGGTATGGCATGTGGGAGGAAAGGAAGGCAATGTTTTAACGGTAGTTTCGTAGGAGGAGAAATATGCTCTCCTGGTATGAAATCTAAAAGACATACTGTTCTAGAATTAGGTTAAAATGAGAATTTCTCTTTTAGCACTGAATCTGTTCCTGTGAAGGCATAAATTGTATCTTGAGCAATTTTAGTTACCATAACAAGTGTTTGTGTGGCTGAAGGGTTAATACATGTGAATAGGCAGCAGGTATGGTTCTGCTGTTCTATTTTGTCATGAATGCTTTATGAAAAGGTATGTCGTGAAGGTACTTCATAAGAATTGTTTAAGAGCATGTATTGAACAACATGACACGGATGTCTAAGAGAAATCTTTTCTTCAAAGTAAATATGTAATAACTTTTATTCGAGAGATGATAATTTCATACATTTTTAAGGTTTAGCAGTCGTGTTTTCACAATGGAAGTATGGCTCTTTAAGATAAATCATGTCAAAAGTAATTTGCAGACTTACAGAAATCTCTTTAGTAGGCTTGACAGATAGTGGATTGTGGTGGATATAATTTATTGTCTGCCTAGCACTTTAAAATACTCTGTTTTCATTACTTCCTGATCTTAATACTGATCACAGAATTCAAATGTATAGTTACACTGTAATTCTTTGTTATATAGCTATAAATCTGCCAGTCATTTCATCTCCTTTGTTAATTCTTTTGATATGAGAGCAGTTTATAAAACTTCATTCCCAGAACTCACAGTAGATATAAGCGGACCCACTAGAGACAGCATCCTTTTGATTGCTGGCTGGCTTTACAGTCTTCTTCATTACAAAAATGTTGCTTCAAAATTCATGCCTTCTGACTGTGTCAGTAATCATTACTCTTATTTTCCATTATCTCGATCTCCTGTTCACCATTGATTCTCACCTTTCTGCATCTCAACAGTCGCCATCAGCATCTTTTTTTCCCCCATCTAGCAACATTTCCTTATCCTTGCTACTCAGGCTACAGCCTTAAGGGCAACTACTCTGTCCAACATACCACTGTTGACACAAATACAGAAGCCATTTGCATGTTTTCTCCGCTACTAGCATCCTTCCTTCCCCATAGTAAGTAACACTTTCCCCAACTTCTCCAACCTATCTGGTCTTCCCTACTTTCTAATGTCAACTCATCTTTTAGTGTCATCATCCTGTCCAGTGTCTGCTGCATTACCAGCTTCTGTTGCTTGTGGAATTTATCATCTGTTTCTTAATCAGGCTGGCCTTCCAGTGTCTTTGTGTCTTGTTTCCAAAGGGTTCTGGATCTCAGTGACTTGGGCCTTTTCATCTGAAGCTGGCTTAATTTCCCAAATGTATAGAGAACCTGTCTACAGAGGCTTCATGTATTCATTAAAAAAAAAAACAAACAAATCAACTGGAGAAAGGCAGATGCTGTATTTCTTCCCATCCCACCTTCACTGCCAGATTTCCTCTTGATACTGTTTGTCACTTGAATGATACTATGTTTGTACATTATTTGTGTATGCATGTATGTATGTATTTATTTCTTAATCTTCCTCTAAGTTGACGTTACACAACCTCTAGTCTAATTCGTCCTCCTCCCCCATCCTTCCCGCTGATTCCAACCCTGCTATGTTACTCTTTTTCTACTAGTTATCAAAGACAGTGTCACTGTACACTTATTTATTTATTTATTTATTTCCCTGCAAACTTGTGAAGACCCATCTTAAAGCTGCTTATGGCTTTTTGGTCCTACCTCTACTGGAAGAATGCTGTTCTAATAACTAAAAATCTTTGATCAGGTTGCCAGGTTAATTTACAAATGTCCTGTCTATACGTACTTACTCTTTTTGAAGTGTTTTGCTCTAACTTAAGCAGTTCTGCCCCTCTGATATGTGTAGAGAGAAAAACGCACTCTGCACTTTCATATCTTGTTCAATGTCTTTACCTATGACACATGTAACACAGCAGGGCCCTAAGGGTTATTTACAAAACACCTCGGCAAGTCCCTGAACCACTGGAAGTAGCTAATCAAAGTCATTAATTTTTCTAGGGAAGAAGAGAGGTACAGCCTTTCTGTGCTTCCCTGGGACAAGTAACAACACTGAAGCTTTTGTAGAATCTGTGATGAGTTCCCTAAAGCTCCCTGAAATATCTTCAGGCAGATTGGAAGTCTATACAAAACCTTGTAGGTTTTTTGTGTAATGGCTATCAAAATTCCTAACGGTAAGAAGGCAAACTCCCAGAGATCTTGAGCTACTCCAGGAAATAAGAGAAAATGTTCTCCCTATTGAGAACCTCTTCTTCAGCTACTGGAACTGTGTCCTGTGCTATTGGTCATAGGAAATATGCTATTACTGCCCCTAAGATGACTTGTGACAGAGCACAAAGGTATTCCTTTTCTTCCCTTTTGTAAAGATTTGTTAATATAAATGATACACCAGTATAGATTGAGAGGCATGTCTGAAATCATTGCATCTAACCTCACCCTTAAAACAAGGCCAACTTGGATCAGGTTCCTAAAGGCCTTGTCCAGTTCATGTGTTAATATGTGTAAGGATGGAGATTCCACCACCTCTCTGGGAGGCTTGCTCTAGTGTTTGACTGGTGAAAATATCTTTTTTTTCATAATAAATAGATAGAATTTCCTGTGTTCCAACGTGTCTGTTGCCTCTAATTCTATCACAGTGGTCCTCTAATAAGTGTCTGGCTCTGTCTTCTCTCTATCCACCCATTAGATATTTGAGATGGCAGTAAGATCTCCCTGTATCCTTCCATCTTAAAGCTGAACAAACTTGGTTCTGTGCCTTTTCTTGTTTATCATGTGTTTCAGCCCCCTCACCATCTTGCTCGCCCTCTGCTGGACTTGCTCCAGGATGTCAATGTCTGTCTTGTATTGAGAAGCCCAAAACAGGACACACAACTCCAGATAATTAAGGTGCAGCTAAATATTACTGTCATCTATTCTTGACAACAGTCTGCCTAGAGAAGATTTGAAAAACAAATATTTAAAAATTTAACAATCGTGATTCTTTATAGTGAATTTAAAATACATGTTTAGATATTTTCTTAGTAATTCATGTATATTTTGAGCTTTATCTGTATGAGGAAATACTGGTATTATCTCTTCCTCCCACTCCTCCTCTTCCTTTCAAGGAATTTTAATTTGTTGCTTCATCAAAGCCAACAATCCATAACAACTTCCACACTTAACATGCCTACTCATGTGGATTTTTTAAATTTACTTGTATTTTCTTCCTTCAAAAATTAAGCCAAGATATGCATGTATGAATGTTCTCATAGGGATTTTGCTAGAAAACACTTAAATTAGTAAACTTTCTGAACTCTAAACAACTTAAAGCTGTAAGGCCAGTTCTTTTTGAACATGGTGAAAAACCTGTTTTCATCTCAGATTCACAATGATGCAAATTCCTTGTAAACTTAGTGAAGTCTTCAGTATGGAGCTGCTTTCTTTTGGACTATAATTACAAAAACATTAAGAATTCCCGTCTGTGTATTATTATCGCTAGGAAAATAGCTTTGAATTTGATTCATTTATTCATTTCTCCTATGTGTTACTGAAACGAATATAAAAACAACCTATATTCACAGAATTCACAGAATTGTTAGGGTTGGAAGGGACCTCTGGAGATCATCTAGTCCACCCCTCCTGCCAGAGCAGGGTCACCTACAGCACGTTACACAGGACAGCGTCCAGGCGGGTTTTGAATGTCTCCAGAGTGGGAGACTCCACCACCTCTCTGGGCAGCCTGTTCCAGTGCTCCACTACCCTCAAAGTAAAGAAGTTCCTTCTCATGTTAAGATGGAACTTCCTATGTTCAAGTTTATGCCCATTACCCCTCGTCCTATCACTGGGCGCCACTGAAAAAAGGCTACTCCCATCCCCCTGGCATCCTCCCATTAAGTATTTGTAAGTATTAATAAGATCCCCCCTCAATCTTCTTTTCTCTAGACTAAAGAGACCCAAGTCCCTCAGCCTTTCCTCATAAGAAAGGTGCTCCAGTCCCCTAATCATCTTTGTTGCCCTTTGCTGGACCCTCTCCAGCAGTTCCCTGTCTTTCTTGAACTGGGGAGCCCAGAACTGGACACAGTACTCCAGATGCGGTCTCACCAGGGCAGAGTAGAGGGGGAGGACCTCCCTCGACCTGCTGGCCACACTCTTCTTGATGCACCCCAGGATGCCATTCGCCTTCTTGGCCGCCAGGGCACATTGCTGGCTCATGGTCATCCTGTTGTCCACCAGGACTCCCAGGTCCCTCTCCACAGAGCTGCTCTCCAGGAGGTCAGCCCCCAACCTGTACTGGTGCATGGGGTTATTCCTCCCCAGGTGCAGTACCCTACACTTACCCTTGTTGAAGGGTATATATGCTTCACTAACTGGTATTTGCGTAATGCCCTGACTTTTCCAATGGTAAGAGCCTGCATGTGTTGCAGTTATTAAAAATTAGGTGTGTTCTC